GAGTGAAGGATCATTCACCTCTCAATGTTTTGCCAGTTTTGTAAAACCACAGAAAAACAGAGATATTTGATTTACTATATTATATTTGTTGACTTTTGCTTCAAGGAGCTACTAAAATAATCTTTTCATTATGAAAATAGTTACTTAGTTAATAATTAATTAAACCATAGAGGAAAGGAATTCGTTACAAATTGAAATAGACTTAAATAAATGAAAACAACAAAATGAATTACACTTTATCTTCCCAAAAAATCTAGGTTTGAGAGGTGACACACGGAAATTAGAAAAAAATATAAATAAAAGATGCCAGCCTCTGAATCCGCTCTAACACATTTGATTTATATAAACACCTAAAGCCAGTTTATGTAATAGTAAAGCACATTTAGGATTGATAAAGCAATTGCTACTATTTAATGAGGGGGCCAGTCAATTTCAATAATATGAAATATTCAGCCCAAACTAACAATTTAACATGTTACAAATTCTCATTTTGATTTTGATTACTATGAATATTTTCAAAATTCGTAATTCTTTATTACAGTGCTTTTATCTATTTGTTTTTGTGCTTATGTATAAGTATCGTTTTAAGTGTTTGTCTTGTTTACCATTCAAAGGAAGATGCGTAGAGGGTGAGAGGAGAAAGGTGTTTTAAAAGAAACAACAAAACCTGGGGGAAGTTTATCATTGAAACACCGACAACAACAGATGGTTAAAGAAAAAAGGTCAGACCAGTGCAATTGTTGTGATAAATGTATTAGGGATGAATAGCACTGAAAAATAACAAGCTAAATATCCGATTTAAGTAAAAAGTGCCGCTCTAAATGTCTGGGGTATTATGGTTCTTTTTAGTTTGTTAAAACTTTTATTTGACAGCCATTTTGCCTTCAGATGTTTCACTGACTGCACATACTTTATCAAATTTGGTCATAAAGGAAACCACAGTTTGTGCCTTACTGTAATCATAAGTCCCTCTAAGAGATGTTCCAGTTTTTATCTAATCAGCTGGAGGAGACTACACTGAAAAACATTAATTGATATGACTTCCAACTCACATCCCTTTCAAGACTCCATGAATCATTAATTTTAGTCCAAAATCCACAGCAGTATTTCACTACGAGAAGCCACCATTAATAAAGTTAACATTTTAGATTAGAGAAGAATTACCTGACACGCCATTTGATTTTTTCAATCTCTCTGATCCTCGATCTCTATACATCCCACAATGCACTCCTTCACTTAATCACCTCCTGTGCTATCCTTCACACTAAATGGATTCAAAACTTGTTACCCTTAGCTAAAAACCGAGCACCTGTCACGCTGCCCTCTCGATACTCATGGTTCAAGGGGTTTCACTGTTTGCTCTCTGGTGTCTTGCATTAAAAAGCCTTGGTACTCATTGCACTGCTGTAATAAAACATAAGCATTTAACATGCACATTTATGGTCCTCAATAACCCAGAAGTCTTAATAAAAATGAAAGCTGACATTGGCATGAAGGATCCTCCACACTAGCTGTCTTTAATGTCCAAGACGTTCCATTAAAAGGGGAGCACTTCCTCAGAAGCGGAGCTTTTATCCTGATTGCTTACAGGAAGAGAAGAGAAAAAAAGAAACCAAACGACCTTCAGCAGCTCGACAACTAGCCCTTCCCTTGTGTGTGCTCCGTGAAGAGAGGGGTCGGCGTGCACACTAATGCAGACACTTTTGCGTAGATACACAGTATGTTTTCTCTAAGTAGGTTGTGAATGGAGAAACAAATGTAACAACTGCGCTAAGATACATATGTACAAACCCAGAGGTCTGCGTCACAAGCTACTTGGTATTCTGTTCATGTGCAGAGAAGCTATCTCACTTTTTATATCGTAATGATTATTAGGAGATAGGGAAAAAAGCCAAATCTGCATGTTCAATTAGTGCCTGCGCGATGCCAGATAGATAATACATGGGACTGGCTAATGTCCTTGCTCCTGAACTTCTTCCGCCGCTTTCTGTTTGAAGCTGGTGAAAAAGAAGATGGGGACATAGATTTCCCTCTTTGGGAACACAACTGTTGAGCTACATTTAATAAGCTGCTCAAAAACACTCTCCTGCCGAGAGGGACTGCACTTTTAATGACCACTCTGCTTCCAAAGTCTCAGATGTGCGCCTAGATTGCTTGGCATATAGAAGACAAGGCAGCCATCTTATTAATAGCAACGCACCACACATGCTGCAGACTAAGGAGCAGAAACCCAGAGAGAGAGAGGGAGAGAGACACACTGGCACATGGAGAGAAAGCGTGTGTCCCTTGCATGCTTTTACTGTCTGTGAAGGCAGGGAGACAGATGGGTGCAGTGAGGAGGAGATTAGATGGAGGAGGCAGGGCAGGGATCGGGGTCTAAAAGATCTAGCCCTCACGAGAGGACGTCCAGGGCAGCATCCACGCAGGTCAGGGGGGGGGGAGGTGATGGATGTACCCTGTGTGACTGGATCCCTCGGCACGCCCACATGGAGACGCCACCAAGGCCAGGCCAGAGGAGAAGGCAATCAAAGAGAGAGGCCGTAGGGCTAGGATGATATAGGAGGATCCAGCTTATTAAATAGGCTTCAGGAGGAGCATGGAGCATCTGAAGTAAGTTGTCACTATGCCACCAACAGGCATAACAGGAAGTCTCTGTTAGATGGAGAGTCAATGCACTGTAGGCAGTAATGACAGACTGTGTACAGTAAGAGCAGGAATACCGTCATTAAATACACTGACATACCAGGGAGCTCCAGAACAGTGTGTCATCACTGATTTACTTTTTCTCTTTTATACCTGGGCCTCGTTATCCTGAATCTGAGCATCAGGTGAAAAGAAATGTTTGTGAGTCATATTCTATGTTCATCATATCCGACCGCATGCTACTTCTGAATTCAAACATGCCGCATTCAATAAGACACCACGGTCTCTATATCTAGACGCTGCAATGAAGAACACAATCAGGAAATGAATTTGGAACTATGACGCATTGTTTACAATCTTTTTTTCCTGACTCAATTTTCATTTAGAGAGCAAAGTAGAAAACTCCAGTCTGCTAACATGGAGAGGAGATGATCACACAACTCCATTATTAGAGGCCATCTGAGACCAGGTTTGCTCATGCCACAGTATGTAATTCACTTGATGATAGATTTTAACATCAATTTTCACACTGCCATGCAGACCCAGACACTTTGATTCCTTTTTTGTTAATTTCATAGTCTTGGCAACAAGAACATCCTACATGCTTTTACCTCAGCCGTTAAGACTATAGGAGAGGAGGAGGACGACGGCAGGGGTGGTACAGCGGCGGTTGTGAAAGCAGGTGCAAAAATAAAAAATGTCACTCGGATTTCCTGTCACATCATGCAGCCCACTCCAGTCCTAAACTTTATATAATTACAACAATCTGTGCTCTGAGAGAGACTGTGTGAAATCTGATTGCCATTGGTAACGTTCGCAGCAAGAGTCCTAGCCTGATAGAAGGCTTCCTGTTTCAATTTCCTTGGATCCCTCAAATTTGACTTCCTTTTTTTTGTTGTATCCCATCAGTGGGGCATACATTTCCATTCAGGGGAAAAAACAGACCCGGTAATATCCAATTTACTGGGAGGCAGAGGAGATGGTTTCACTGGCAGTATAATAACATGCTACATGAAGCGTAACATTATGGAGTATGAATAAAAAAGGCATTTATGGTAAAAATTCAATCCAAAAGCAGTCATCATTCATCGGAGGAAATCAAGGCAATTAGTAACACTTTAATGCAAATTGGAGAATGCAAAACACATCACAAATCCCTGGCACTGTAATAGGGACCGGAGAAGAGGAGTTCAAATGACCTCTTTTAAATGCACGTCAGTCTAATATCAGAAATCTGAGAACACAGATTCTACTCTCAGATGTGTGTGTGTGTGTATGTGTGTGGTGGTTGTGCGTTAGCCACCTAATAGCTTCTTGACCACAATATCGCCTAAGACCATTCATTATCTCGTGCAAGAGCGATTGCTTTAATGTTATTCACTTGCATTTCATGCAGAGTAAAAGACCTGTGTTACATTTGCAACCGTGATTGTCAAAAGCAGCATGTTTGTGGCTTGTGAACATGTTCACAAGCAGGCTGTGAGCGTGGCTGAATGTAAAGATTTCTCATTTGGAATATTACATCCACATAAACACAGCGGGAACAAAAACAGCATGCTATACAACAGCACCTCAATAGCCTAATAACCTGTCATGTACCCACTGCTACAATCAATTAAACGCAAAACAATCAGCCGGCTTTTTTAACGGCTGGTTGAATACGTGACTGAGTGCAATTACTCCAGGTCAAAGATGATGCTATGTCCTTTTGGCTCTGCAGGGTGCACCTCATGGACGGAGCTAAAAATAATCACTTCATGTATGAACTTACCTATAAGTAATAACATGAGGGATATTTATCACATGTCCAGGTTTAGTATTAAAGACTTGGTCGAGATGGGCAGTTAATCATCATGAAGCAGCACTAAGGTAACCAGCAGATAAACAACATTGTTTACAAAAGAGAACAGCGTGTGTGTCATTTAGCATGCCACCGAAAAGCTCTCACTGGGAAATCATGTCCCTTTTTATCTACGTTACAAAGACACATTATACCTACATGTTCATTCCTGAGAGAGAGAGAGAGAGAGAGAGAGAGAGAGAGAGAGAGAGAGAGAGAGAGAGAGAGAGAGAGAGAGAGAGAGAGAGAGAGAGAGAGAGAGAGAGAGAGCAGACGAGGTAGAGTACATCAAGACCCACATTTGGTCTGAAATCTGCCGAGAAGTTTCAATTTCCGGATGGTAATGAATATCACAATCATTTAAATGCAAACATCTGCTTCTTTCGTCATGCTGTGCAGTACAGTAGAATACATTACTCAATAACTCTCAAGCTGCATCGCCAGCCTACACACTAGCAGGCATGAGCTGCTGTATCCCCCACCCCCCAATTCCTTCCACATCTCTGCCGTACTTTACCTTCAGAGTGGTGGGAGAGGGTGAGCAGGCTGACGCAGGAAGCTCCGATCCCAGAACCGAACACAGTGATGCGGTTGGAGTCTCCTCCGAAGAAGCCGATGTTCTCGCTGATCCATCTCAACGCCTGGATCTGGTCCAGGAGCCCGTAGTTCCCTTTAGCAGCCTGGTCACCAGTACTGAGGAAGCCTGTAACACATACAGATATTACACCATTAAAAAAGTCACCTCAATGCATACAGTGATTTGCCTTCAAACTAAATTACAATAAAAAGGTAGTCTGCAACTTTCACATTAAATATGCCACAGATATTCATCCTCCCTGTGCTCCTGCAGCATAAAAGGTTATCCGCAGGGACTAACCGCTGCTCGATTTGGTCAGAAGAACCGTCACGCCGGGTGACAGCAGCGCTGAAATCATGACTTATTGGATGATACGGCTATTGGTAAAATAGGAGTACGTGTGACCACATGTCATCTGCACCTTATGGGAAATCAATGGCATGTCTCCCCGGGTGAGCACCCATCATCGGATATATTGAGCAGTGCTGATGGAAACCACAGGAATCTATGAAAACTCCACAGAGGGGAGAGAAAAATACGTGATAATAAGATTTACAATCATTTTGATGCTGCAAAACCCTCCATATGGATTGCAACCTTATTACATATCCTATCAGACACCACCTTCCTCTGACATGCTTCAGTGTTTCCACTCGGAACTACACATACTTTCAGTCTAACCATTCACAAAAGGCAGCATCCATGTGCTCTTTCCTCCCTTGTCTGTGTAATCAGCTTTATGATGCCTTGAGTTGGACAGTGGGTCTCTCATGGGCGCGTCAGAGCTCATGTTAACACACCACCTTCTCCCAGCTGCTCTCCAGGGCCTAAACCCAGCTGAATGATGGGTAATGGAGAGTCGTGGGAGAAGATCAAAGGCAAGCAATCCATGAAGTCCCCACGGTGGACTCAGTGTCCATCAAACCCCTGAACAGACATGCTAATGTGACAGCTAGAAGATGTGCGTGGAAACCAAGACCCCCTTTCCTCTCTTTAGTGGCAACACTCGCATGCGTTTGTGTTGGTGGTAAATGCTTGCCAGCCTTCAGTGATGGTCTTTCAGCAACACAGCATTGTTTCTAACATCTATTTCATGGTCTATGCCTCTATATAATGATGAGCTCTGTGTTTAAGTCCTAAGGGGGGAAAAGGGAATAGTTTTGTTATCAACCATGCAGAAATAAATAAATAAAAGTGTGTTTTTTGACTCTGGTCAGCAGCAGCGATGCTCACTTTAGATACACACTGATTAGAAAGCAGCTGCTCCGGGCTCATGTGAACAAAAAAGGATGGCATGTCCACCAATCCTGATTTTCTCTCTTTGTGTGAGTCTACAGAGGGCACAGGCCCCTGCCCCACCCCGACAGCACACCCGCCTCGCCCCGAGTGCCTGTTGGCAGTTACAAAGAGGGGAAAGGCCAGGCCTGATCATCGATAGGAGAGAGGCGGTGGCAGAGGAAGCAAAGCAGGAGACAAATGGATCAACAGATGGTCTCCTTCAGACACATCCCTGAGGATGACAGAGCAGCAGGGCACACGCAGAGAGAGAGAGAGTGAAAGAGACAGGCAGAGGAACAGAGAGGGACGCAGACAGAGAGGGAGAGGAGGACTCCAATTGAAGAGCTTTTCCTTTCCCTCTCGCGGCTCCTCCTTGTGTTCCGCCATAACTAAAGGACAACAGCTTTTACAACCCTCTCCCGGGTGCCGTGGAGAGAGAGGAGACATGACTCTCCCAGAATAACCCTCATTTGCGAAATGGTTCACACTTCACCAAGTGTATGTCACATGGGTTAGGAAATGTCAGGAGAATGGCATGTAAAAGGGATTCTGTGCAACTGTTAGCCTAATTGAAAAAATATATAGCAAATGTTACCCATTTGGCAATGTAATATGAGGAATTACTAAATGACAACATGTAAATGGATTTGGATCCCCAGCTGGCTGAATAAAGCGCTGCTCAATTCTCTATTATTTTTGTATTTGTTTTGTTTTGTTTAGCCGTGTTGATTCCCCTGCATCTATAAATGAAACTGGTCATTAAAATGTAGAGGTAGAATCCAATATTTTAGACAACAAGACATGCTGCAGGCGCCATTTAAAAATACATCTAATATAGCTACTGGTTATGTTTTAATTGGAAAGGTGACAGAAAGTATTTTCTTTGGAAAGCAATTAAGATAGCAATGTAATTGTTTTTGTGCATGGTTATTTCTATTTTTTACATTTATAGCAGACCGCTGACTTTATGATTGTACTCCGGAGGTGTTTGGTCTGTTTTTGTTTTGTGCATGACCTCCGGACCTTCAATCTACTTTGCTAGAATGAGGTACAGGAACTGGCTGTTTACATAATGCCACGGTACACACTATGCATTTGGCACTGGTTTGAGTTATCTTATTTCTGAACATCCTTACTCACCAGGGAGAGGGTTATAGATTTCCAGATCTAGCAGATGATCTCTGTCTCATCAGCACTGCGTGGGCTCTGGCAGAGCACTATCTGCTCACAGCTCACTCCTACACAGGACCTTGGGATTCTGGGATGTAGCTCAGTGCTTATAATAATAATAATCCTTATATTTATTATAGCGCTTTATCAAAGAGCTTTACAAATTACACATACAGATAATGGTCATCTACTGTGGACAATACCCACAGGAGCAAATTCGGGTGAAGTGTCTTGCCCAAGGACACAACGGCCTGACGCAGTGGGGCGGGAGCGGGTTTCGAACTGGAGTTCCCCAACGCCCCCTTGATCTGATGATCAAACGCACAGACCACTGCGCCACCTGTCCCTCTCAAGTATTTGGTCCGGTTGGCTATTTGCTTGACTGCACTACTCAACCCAACATTCAATTGAGATTATTACTATGGACAAGGTATCACTTTACCATAAGCATTTAATTATAAAGTATAATACTTTTTTATCCATCTTTGTTAGCTGCCTGAATTCAAAACATTCTCATTTAAATGATCTGACCAATTCACTTTGGCACACACAGTATACACAATGAGTGTCACAGTCAAGTGGATTCTACAAACATAAAGTGACCAATAGATAGTAAATAGTCTGAGTTGAAAGTCAAGTTCATACAAATCAATTTGTGTTAAGTTAATTTTCTCTGTGACATAACCAATAATGCCAGTTCTGTGAGAACCTCAACATCAAATGTAGGATGCTTTGTTTTTTGTATCAATAGCAAAGCCCAAGCATTATACCTTCAGGCTGAATACGAATATTGAATATGATTTGCTGCTAAAATAGGATATCAAGCTCAAATGGTAAACATTATGTTTCTCGAAGGAAAAGGGAAATCTAAAAATGGAAAGAAATGCCTTGAAGATAAACTACACTTGAGAAAATAAATCATACGACTGATCTTCATTTAACCTTCTTGAGTCATGTATGCCAAATCCAAAATGTGTTTACCAAGATCTGTTGAGAATACCGGTTATATAAGTTGCAAAAGGTCATGCCAGCAAATAACATCTGAAATTGACGCTTGTTAGAAATTAAAATCAATGTTGGTATGGCGTAATTTGAATTAAATACACTATTTAATTTAAATCAGTTTTATTCTGAAAAACCGGAAGTTCACTAACTATTAACTTAATACTTTTATTCTGAAAATTATTCACTTCCGGTTAGCATTAGCATGTGGCGAAATGCTCCATTTTCAAACCGTGAATTAAAGGTGCAATTACATGTGATGTTGTACACTGAGCACACTGGGTTTAGCACTCATTTATTACCGCTGAATAACGTTTATTAGGGAATGTTCAAATAACCACAGACACCAGAATGATATAATTTAACAACAGAAAAAGGCAGAAATTGCATTGGACCCGCCCCCGACGACGCCGGCCAATAGGAGAAGACCTTCGATGACAACAGGAAGAGCAAGCCAAGGATTGACCTCTTCCACCTGTGACCTGGACTGACCCGTCGGATGAGGAGAGCGCCTCCACTCGCACATTTCATTTGTACTCCACCGCATCTTTTGTGTAATTAAATGCTGTTAACTTTTATAAGCTTCCCTTGACTCTTTTTAGTCTCTCCTGCCTTCGGGGTTCTAGAATACACTAACACGCTGGAAACATGAAAGACATGAAAGTTAAATATTCATGGCAAACAAACTGTATGAACTAATAACATCGATTATGTGCGCGCATGATAGAACTGTCATTTGTCCTGATTGTTTACATGATGTGTCTTTGTCTCATGTCTTAAAGCTGCTCTTCCTCGACAGTAATAATAATATATTAATAATAATAATATATTAATTTTATATAGCGCTTTTCTGGACCCAAAGACGCTTTACATTTGGGAGGGGGGGTATACAAACAAAACAAAAAACAGAGACAAAGCCAAAAAGAAACAAAACACAACAGAAAAGCAGTCAGGAGGAAGTTGATTAAGAGGGGGGGGGGGGGGGGGGGCTTTATAGATAAAGAGTTGAAGAGGTGGGTTTTGAGGCGGGACTGGAACAGGGTGAGGGACTCAGACTCACGGAGGTCTTGGGGGAGTGAGTTCCAGAGCTTCGGGGCTGCCACAGAGAAGGCTCTGTCCCCGAAGCTCCGGAGTTTGGCCTTGGGGATTGAAAGCAAACCGGCTGAGGTGGATCTGAGGGACCGGGGTGAGTAGTTATACACATGCCACTTCAATCTCATTAGTATGCATAGAAAGTGACAGGTGGTGTGACAGGTCACACCTCTCCCTACTTATTAAGACACGCCCCCTTCCGACACACATCACATTAGTATGTATAGGATCAATGTCCCGCCTCCTAACCACTTCCTGTGCCCCCTAATCCTGTATATATGACAAGTCAGGACATGTGGGGGAGAAATCATAAAAAACCTCGGAGCTGTCAGACCAAATGGTGGGCGAGGGGAGGGGAAACACACAACACACACACACACACACACACACACACACACACACACACACACACACACACACACACACACACACACACACACACACACACACAAACACACACACACACACACACACACACACACACACACACACACACACACACACACACACACACACACACACACACACACACACACACACACACACACCACACACACACACACACACACACACACACACACACA